TTTAATTGGACCATTTAGTCCATTTACATTTAAGGTTAAGATTGTTATGTGTGAACTTGAGCCTGCCATTATGATATTAACTGGTTATTTTGCTCGTTAGTTGATGCAGTTTCTTCCTAGCCTCAATGGTCTTTACATTTTGGCATGTTTTTGCAATGGCTGGTACCGGTTGTTCCTTTCCATGTTTAGTGCTTCCTTCAGGGTCTCTTGTAAGGCAGGCCTAGTGGTGACAAAATCTCTAAGCATTTGCTTACCTGTAAAGGATTTTATTTCTCCTTCACTTATGAAACTTAGTTTGGCTGGATATGAAATTCTGGGTTTAAAATTCTTTTCTTTAAGAATGTTGAATATTGGCCCCACTCTCTTCTGGCTTGGAGAGTTTCTGCCGAGAGATCTGCTGTTAGTCTGATGGGCTTCCCTTCGTGGGTAACCCAACCTTTCTCTCTGGCTGCCCTTAAGATTTTTTCCTTCATTTCAACTTTGGTGAATCTGGCAATTATGTGTCTTGGAGTTGCTCTTCTCGAGGAGTATCTTTGTGGCGTTCTCTGTATTTCCTGGATTTGAATGCTGGCCTGCCCTACTAGGTTGGGGAAGTTCTCCTGGATGATATCCTGAAGAGTGTTTTCCAACTTGGTTCCATTTTCCCCCTCACTTTCAGGCACCCCAATCAGACGTAGATTTGGTCTTTTTACATAATCCCATACTTCTTGCAGGCTTTGTTCATTTCTTTTTCTTCTTTTTTCTTTTGGTTTCTCTTCTCGCTTCATTTCATTCATTTGATCCTCAATCGCTGATACTCTTTCTTCCAGTTGATCGAGTCGGTTACTGAAGCTTGTGCATTTGTCACGTATTTCTCGTGTCATGGTTTTCATCTCTTTCATTTCGTTTAGGACCTTCTCTGCATTAATTACTCTAGCCATCAATTCTTCCACTTTTTTTTCAAGATTTTTAGTTTCTTTGCGCTGGGTATGTAATTCCTCCTTTAGCTCTGAGAAATTTGATGGACTGAAGCCTTCTTCTCTCATCTCGTCAAAGTCATTCTCCGTCCAGCTTTGATCCGTTGCTGGCGATGAGCTGCGCTCCTTTGCCGCCAGAGATGCGCTCTTATTTTTTGAATTTCCAGCTTTTCTGCCCTGCTTTTTCCCCATCTTTGTGGTTTTATCTGCCTCTGGTCTTTGATAATGGTGATGTACTGATGGGGTTTTGGTGTAGGTGTCCTTCCTGTTTGATAGTTTTCCTTCTAACAGTCAGGACCCTCAGCTGTAGGTCTGTTGGAGATTGCTTGAGGTCCACTCCAGACCCTGTTTGCCTGGGTATCAGCAGCAGAGGCTGCAGAAGATAGAATATTTCTGAACAGCGAGTGTACCTGTCTGATTCTTGCTTTGGAAGCTTCCTCTCAGGGGTGTACTCCACCCTGTGAGGTGTGGGGTGTCAGACTGCCCCTAGTGGGGGATGTCTCCCAGTTAGGCTACTCAGGGGTCAGGGACCCACTTGAGCAGGCAGTCTGTCCGTTCTCAGATCTCAGCCTCCGTGTTGGGAGATCCACTGCTCTCTTCAAAGCTGTCAGACAGAGTCCTTTGCGTCTGCAGAGGTTTCGGCTGCTTTTGTTGTTATCTGTGCCCTGTCCCCAGAGGTGGAGTCTACAGAGACAGGCAGGTTTCCTTGAGCTGCTGTGAGCTCCACCCAGTTCGAGCTTCCCAGCAGCTTTGTTTACCTACTTAAGCCTCAGCAATGGCGGGCGCCCCTCCCCCAGCCTCGCTGCTGCCTTGCCGGTAGATCACAGACTGCTGTGCTAGCAATGAGGGAGGCTCCGTGGGCGTGGGACCCTCCCGGTCAGGTGTGGGATATGATCTTCTGGTGTGCCTGTTTGCTTAAAGCGCAGTATTGGGGTGGGAGTTACCCGATTTTCCAGGTGTTGTGGGTCTCAGGTCCCCTGGCTAGGAAAAGGGATTCCCTTCCCCCTTGCGCTTCCCAGGGGAGGCAATGCCTCGCCCTGCTTCAGCTCTCGCTGGTCGGGCTGCAGCAGCTGACCAGCACCGATCGTCCGGCACTCCCCAGTGAGATGAACCCAGTACCTCAGTTGAAAATGCAGAAACCACCGGTCTTCTGTGTCGCTCGCGCTGGGAGTTGGAGACTGGAGCTGTTCCTATTCGGCCATCTTGCTCCGCCCCCCGAGACCCCATCTCTTAAAAACAATTTTTTTCAGAATAGATCTTAAGTGTTCTCACCACAAATAAATGGTAATTATGTGAGGTAATGCATATGTTAATAAACTCAATGGACCCATTTCACAATGGGTGCATATTTCAAAACTTCATGTTGTACATGATAAATAAAACCATTTTCATGTGTTAATTAAAAAAAAATAAAGTGTTTTCTTGAGTTTCTTTCAGTTTATCTCCATATCAGGAAGCTTTAACTAGACTTTAAGACCTAGTTTGAGAGTTCGTGAGCTTTTCCCCAATTCCTTTGATTGGGAAACTTGTTCTTCCCCCTCGGAAGGTACCTATAACGGTCACTATGCCATTCCCAGCAGATTCTAGATATGGGTCATCTGTAATTCCCTGCAGTCCTGGCAAGAGACCCAGCTCTTTTCCAAATGGCTGTGGCATTAACACAGGACCCATCCACTTTTATGAAGAGCCGTGGCACAGATGAATCCACACCGTGCAACCTGGCTGGACAGGCTCCTTGGAGACCTGAAGGTATCGGCCCCTGTCTACAAATAATGTAAAGGACAGAAGCTTGACTACAGTTACCGGGTGAACAATGTCCCTCAAAAAGATACGTGCATGTCCTATCCCCCAGTGCCTGTGAATATCACTTAATTTGGAAATAGGGTCTTTGCAGATGTAACTAAATTAAGGTTCTCGAGATGACATCATCCTGGAGTAGGGTGGGCCCTAAATCCAGTGACAGGTGTCCTCATAAGGGACAGAAGAGGAGACACAAACACAGTGGAGAAGGCCATGTGAAAATGGAAGTAGAGACTGCAGTGATGCAGCCACAAGCCCAGGGATGCCTGGAGCCCCCAGGAGCTGGGAGAGGCAGGAAGGATCCCCCCTAGAGCCTCTGGCAGGAAGCAGACACAATTATCACACATTGGGCAGTGGCCCCCAAAATACATGGCCATGTCCTGACTCCCAGTACCTGGGAATGGAACCCTACATGCAAAGAGGGTCTTTGTAAATGTAATTAAGGGAAGGCTCTTGAGAAGAGATAATCCTGCATTAGGGTGACCCGAAACCCAGTGACGGGCATCCTTCTGAGAGACAGAAGAGGAGACACAGACACAGAGGAGAAGGTCACGTGAAGAAAAAGACAGAGACTAGAGTGATGCGACCACAAGCCCAGGGATGCCTGGAGCACCCAGGGGCTGGGAAAGGCAGGAAGGATCCTCCCCTAGAGCCTCTGGAGGCCTAAGACACCTTGATCTCAGACTCCTGGTCTCCAGGATGGGGAGAGCATAAACTCCTGTTAAGCCCCTAGTTTGTGGTCCATTGTTATGGCAGCCACTGGAGACTCCTAAACCACACAGAGGGCCCCAAGAGAGCCCAGTGGTTCAAGCCTCACATCCTGGTGTACTGTGTCTCCCCAGACTGTAATTTACAGGGTCAAGACATATATGGAAGTTCCTCCAAGTATAAGTCCCTCCAAGGTTGTCCAGAGCTAGAAATAGCCAACAAAAAGTTCATGAATTCTATCAAATTCGGGGATGCCAAAACTTGCATATAAGGTATGATACTACTTACAGAACAGTCTGTTTGTCAATTATGCATTTGCCTCCACACACAAAGTTTGTGGAAATCATACCTGACGCACAACTTTTAAAATCATCACTTGCACACGTAAAACATATACTCCCATGTCCATGGCGAACTACTCACAAAAGCCAAAAGGTGGAAACAGCCCAGGTGTCCGTCCATGGATGAACGGACAAACAAAACAAGGTCTGCCCACACGATCGAACACTATGTGCTCATGAAAAGGAAGGAAGCCCTGACACAGGCTATAGCCTGGATGAACCTTGAAGACATCTGCTCAGAGAAAGTCAGACGCAAAAGCTTACATTTTGTACAATTCCATTTTCAGCAGGGCCATTTTTAGCAGAGCCCAGAATACCGAACCCTACAGAGAAAGTCAGTAGATTAGTGGCTGCTTAGGGTCGGGGTCCCCAACCCCTGGGCCACAAACTGGTAGTGGTCCATGGCTTATGAGGAACCAAAATGGGCCACACAGCAGGAGGTGAGCAGCAGGCAGGTGAGCGAAGCTTCACCTGTATTGACGGCTGCTCCCCATGACTGGCGTTAGCACCTGAGCTCCGCCTCCTGTCAGATCAGCGGTGGCATTAGATTCTCATAGGAGCACACACCCTGTTGCGAACTGCGCATGTGAGGGATTTAGGTTGTGTGGTCTGTGGAAAAATTGTCTTCCACAAAACTGGCCCCTGGTGCCAGAAAGGTTGGGGACCGCTGGCTTAGGGCAAGAGAGGATGAAAGAATAGCAGCACAGTGATAGCTGAAGGGTGCAGGGTTTCTTTTTTGAGCTGATGAAAATGTTCTAAGATTAACCATGGGGCTGGCTGTACATAATCGTGTGTATACTAAAAGCCACTGAATTGCACATTTTAGATGGGTAAATTGCAAGGCGTGTGAGTTCACGCTCCATAAAGCTGTTTAAAAAATAAAATAAATAAGTCAACAAAATAATGAGTAATAACTTAGAAATTGTTACTGCTCTATTACCTTGCTTGAGGGGAGGGGAGATACAGTGTAGACCCAGTTTGACGTTGTGTGCCCAGAAACTCAGATTTGATAGATCTTTCCTGGCAGTTTCAAGTAAAATAAAAAATAAATAAATAAAGCACCAGATCTGAAATTTGGGCAGTGATTAAATCTGACCGCTAAACCTTGGTTTATATCTGCACATGTCAATATGGGTGTCAGACGGCAGACACGCACATCGGGTACCACTGAATACCTATGGGATCAAATACTGACCTTCATGTTTCCTAATCGCCTTGTTCTGTCAACCACGAGCAGTTTCTTAATGAGGTCTCTGTGTAGGGGAAGGAGACAAAAAAAAAGAAAAAGTGACAGATTATATATCCACATCAGCAAACGCGGCACGGCAACAGAGATAAGGTCTACCCACTCCGAGGACCACGGCTCATTTCCATTTTAGCAAAACATTTTCTAGTGCTTATTTCCTACCATCACCGGCTCTTAAATAACCTATGCAAGGCTGGGTTGCCCCCTGCATGGCTGAAGCTAAGGGAAGGGGGTTGATTACATCTTTGTCAAGAAACTACCCCTTTGAGTAGAAAAGGGTGAAATTTGTATGTGCCTGCAGGGAGGATCCAGACACTTAACGTAAACATGCCTGTCAGGCTGTCCCTGCAAAATAGAAGACATCTGCTTTCACCAGCATCCACAGTCACACGCTGCCCTGGGGGTCTGCTTTCACCAGCATCCACAGTCACATGCTGCCCTGGGGGTCTGCTTACTGATGGGATTCCTGTTGTAAAAGGCTGGCTTTCCCATAAGCACACACATTAGGATGAGTCTCCTAAGTCTGCTTCTTCACTTGTAGTCTTCCTTTTTAAATAACAGACCATGTCAGAAACACAGCAAGCCGGGAGGCTGGGCACACTGGCTCACACCTGTAATCCCAGCACTTTGGGAGGCCGAGGCGTGCGGAACACTTGACGTCAGGAGTTTGAGACCAGCCTGGCCAACATGGTGAAACCCCATCTCTACAAAAAACAAAAACTTTAGCTGGGCATGCTGGCACATGACTGTGGTCCCAGCTACCTGAGAGGCTGAGGCACAAGAACTGCTTGAACACAGGAGGTGAAGGTTGCAGTGAGCTGAGACTGAGCCACTGCACTCCAGCCTGGGTGACAGAGCTACACTCAGTCTCAAAACAAACAAACAAACAAACAACAACAACAACAGCAGCAAGCTGGTTCAATTAGGATGGGTAGTTAGAGATGATGTTGAAGACTTCTAGTAGATTAGGCGAGTTTTAAGATGCACATTTATGGAAGTGGAAATGATCACGTGTGTCTGCATGTACACATATAATACACAGAGTATATTATGTATAAGAATATACATAACATGAAATAATAATATAATATATTGAAGTCCCCCCAAACAATCCAATACCCACGACCCCGGTGTAAGCATCTAGGCTTTCCTGGCATAAACTACGTCCCAGGGAAAGTAGCATGAACTTGGACTGGGCCACTCCCAGGTTCGGTGACGGACTGCAGAGACTCCGACAAGCCAGGTGACGTCCCAGGGTCAGACTCCACCATCTAGACTGTGAATCTCACCAGTCCTGTCTGATCGGAAATTCCTGCCACCATGCTTTCTGAATTACAATGGGATGCTTGTCAGACTTCACTGCTTCTTTGCCTCTAAGTAAACCTCAGAGACCATCTGTCCGCCCACCTGAGGCTGGGATTTTGTATCCATCCTGCAAGGCTGAAAAGCTTTGAGCAGGGTGGGGAATATAAAAAAATCACCGAAAAGTTACAAACCTTTCCACTACTTAGTGAGTTTCTCCTTCATTATTTTGACATGCTCCCCTCTGCCAAATAAAAATCAAGGTCATCAAATGCTATACCCCCAAAACATTCCCAAATAAATGTGGGGCTTTTTCCTCATATGATTTACACCACTGCCTGCCCCCTTATCACACACACTTAAACTTAAAGCTCACTGGAGTGGGATTATAAGAAAGGTTTATTTATGCTTTTATATTTTAAATAAACCTGTTTTCTTATAATCCCAGTCCAATCACCTTTAAGTGTGTACACTAATGGGGCAGGCAGTGATGTAAATTATAGTGGAAAAAAAGCCCTATGTTTATTTCAGAATGTTTTGGTGATCACCTTGATAAATTTCAATTTGTGTGTGTGTGTGTGTGTGTGTGTGTGTGTCTGGCATGTAAGAAAACAAAGTGTTTGATGACCTTGAATTTTTTTTTAAATTCTTTTGGTGTTTGGCATGTAAGAAAATGAAGATTTATTTAAAATACAGGGCACAGTGGCTTGTAATCCCAGCTACGCAGGGGGTTGAAGTGGGAAGATCACTTGAGACCAAGAGTTCGAGACCAGCATGGGCAACATAGTAAGGCCCCCGTCTCTACAAAAAATCAAAACATCGGCCAGACATGGTGGTGCAAGACTGTAGCACCAGTTACTCGGGAGGCTGAGGTGGGAGCATCATTTGAGCCCAGGACGTTGAGGCTGAAGTGAGCTATGATTGTGCCACTGCACTCTAGCCTGGGTGACAGAGCAAGACATCCAACTCTTAAAAAAAAAAAACAAAAAAAAGTAAAATACCAAAGCAAACTCTTATAAAGCAGAGTCTAGAAAGTAAAGAGTGTGGATGGGAAGGGGCCCCCGAAGACGCAAAGCCCTATAAAGGAACAACAGAAGTGTCCACAGCTGTAGATGGGTCCCTTGACCCCAGGATAAGCGACACATCTGCCGGCACTCTTTTGATGCACTATAGCCAAAATTCTAAATTTTATTTATGATCCTGGCACCAGCTGGCTCCTCTCAGATGCAGGTACTTTCAGGCATGAAAAAAGCCCCGGCAGATAATACCTCTACTGAACTGGCAACAAGTCCCAAAGCTTTGTTTTGGTGTTTTCTTTTAAATGATATTTCTTTCTATAAGGAATGTCAATCCTGACATGCCATTTGCCCAGGCGACATGTTTACCGGGTCAAATGATAAAAGTTGCAGGAACCAACATACGACTTTAAGAAGCTGAGAATCAAAATTCTAGCATCACGGCCAACCAGGAACAGTGATTTGGATAAGAAAATGCATCATTAAGGCCAGGTGCAGTGGCTCACGCCTGTAATCCCCACACTTGGGGAGGACAGGGCAGGAGGATCAGTTGAGCCCAGGAATTCAAAAGCAGCCTAGGCAATGCAGCAAGACCCCCATAGCCATCTCTACCAAAAAATAAAAGGAAAGATATGAGTCACTGAGGTCTTGCTTCTCAGTCAATTTGAGAAGATTTAACAAATAATGGAAAGAAACGAAGTTTTACTCAACTAACACTGTTCCTGCTCTTGGTGGACCCGCACTGGGTATGTAAAGAGACAGGGACATTGTGGGGAACACTGGAAGGGGCTGGGAGCTACATAAAGAGAGGGATGTTAGATCAGACAGTACCAAGATGGTCACCGCTGGTTCTCTACTCTCTAGGAGAGAAAGAAGGAAAAGTGGCAAGAGTCCAGACTTTGATTATGCTTCTGGTGTGTTCTATTTTTGCAATTCCTTTTTTTGTTTGTTTGTTTCCACAGGACATTGGAAACCTCTCTCCCTCTCCCCCCGCCCTATATATATATATATATATATATAAAATTATTTTTTTAATTTTTTTTTTTGAGAGGGTCTCACTCTTTCACCCAGTCTGGAGTGTAGCAGTGCAATCACAGGTCACTGCAGCCTCAACTTCCTGGGCTCAAGCAGTCCTCCCATCTCAGCCTCCCTAGTAGCTGGGACTACAGGCACATGCTACCATGCCCAGCTAATTTTTGAATTTTTTTGTAGACATGGGGTCTTGCTACATTGTCCAGGCTGGCCTCAAACTATTGGACTGGCCCCAAGTAAGCCTCCTGAAGTGCTGGGATCACAGGCATGAGCACCTCACCTTGCCAAACTCGATCATAAAAGTGCTTTGCCATCCACTTGATATAATGTCACTCGACTCAGATGGATTTGGGGCCTGAGAGACAGGTTCTACACAATCCTTTCTATTTCCTTCCAGAGCAGTTGGCTTCTGAGGTGCTGTTTCCCCTGACACCTCCCTGTCTTACCATTCACTGGACAGGGTGTTCCTTCTAGGCGATTCATTGTTAAGCGGAGCCTCGTTTTCTTGCTAAAGTCTTTTAAAACCTGCCTCTAGTGTGTCAAACACAACACAAGCTCAAGCCAATAAAACACGACCTTATCTTCTGTTCAGACTAAGAACCTCTGGTTAGGATGGGGTGCATTCGCCACCAAGAAACTCAACTGAACGTAGCCAGTAGCCCCATAAGGGGCATATTCAAAACAACCTGGTCCGTCGCCCTGAAATAAGTCTTCTCCAAACTGAACTTCCACTGCCTCACAAGAAAATAGGCCATGGAAAATAAAAGTTTAATTCTCAACTAGATGCATTCAGCTCTAGTTTGTGCCCAGGGGGCTGGTGCACCCATTAACTCATCTGAAAAATACAGTGAAACAAACAGAAATCAGTGCTTATTGCAGTAAAAATGGCTACCAGGTGACCCGATTGGGTAAGGTAGCCAGAAAACCAAAAGCATTCTTATATTTAACAAAGTATCTTTTCTCCCTATTGCAACAACCTTAATAAAATGTGCATCCAAAGTTGCCAATATCCAGCAACTATGTAAATGTTTGTAAAGCAACATGCTCAGAACTGAAAATGTTGACGTTAAAAAGGGCTTAGAGGTTGAGCATAATTTAAGCCGGAGAGAAAGGATAAAACTCTGCTAAACCCATCAACAGTTCTGCTAGCCACAGAACTAGGATCCTTCTTGTCAAATTCCAAAACTGCTCTCTCATAAAATACGACGACAAACTCATTCATTGGCTCATTTTAAACATAACATATCACCAAAAGAATAAAATACAGCCAAGACTCATTAAAATGTGAAGTTATCATTAAAGTAGAATACTTAAAATCTTTTTCTTTTCTTGTGGAAAAGACAACTGTCCAAAATAGTTTATGCGCAGCACATTTAATACCACAATATGGTATCCTGCTGAGTGCGTGTTTTCATGGTGATTTTAGACACTTTAAAAATAAACACACCCCATGACGAGGCAAACGGTTTACTTACTTTACATGGAAATCCAAATGTCTGGGGAAATCTATTTTGCCTGCAAGAATTTTCTGATAAATGCCAAACGGGTTGTCATCAAAAAACGGAGGAAACCTGTTAGAAAACCAAACATGTATTTTTAGTGGTGAGTAAGCATGGAAAAAAATCCCTGCTTTGTAAAGATAGCTATTTCTGCTTAACACAGGCAGAAGATAATTTATTTCACATGCACTCTTCCCCGCACACTGAAGTTGTCACGATCTGAAAGCACGTGACACTCAGATGGTTCTAAGAGGCAAGGCATCGTGTGCCGCAGCCCGATGTAAGGGAAGCTCCCTTGGAGAGAATATAAAGACCATTTGAGAGGCAGAAGGCAACTCCTTTGAGGCAGAAGGCAACTCCTTTGAGCATCTTATTCAGAGGGGCCACCAGCCCATTCCTTAACTGTGCACTAAACACTGGACGGAAATGCTCTCTCATGTTTACCGGGGTGAATCCACCACCGTGACCAAGCATGGAACTCAAACGTCTCAACAGCGAAAAGATAAGCAGTCCAATTAAAAAATGGACAGGTGGTCTTCACAGACATTTCTCAAAAGAAGACATGGAAAAGGCCAACAGGTATATGAAAAAAATGCTAAGTGTCACTAATCACCAGAGAAATGCAAATCAAAACCTCAATGAGGTAACAATCATCTCAACCCAGTTAAGATGGCCATTACCAAAAAGACACTGTAATCCCAGTACTTTGGGAGGCCGAGGCGGGTAGATAACCTGAAGTCAGGAGTTTGAGAGCAGTCTAGCCGACATGGTAAAACCCCATCTCTACTAAAATTACAAAACTTAGCCAGGCATGGTGGCACGCGTCTGAAATCCCAGCTACCCAGGAGGCTGAGGCAGAAGAATCACTTGAACCCGGAAGGTGGAGGTTGCAGTGAGCCAAGATCATACCATTGCACTCCAACCTGGGCAACAAGAGTGAAACTCTGTCTCAAAAAAAAAAAAAGACACATACACACAAAAATAACAAATGCTGGTGAGGGTGTGGAGAAAAGAGAACTCTTTTTTTTTTTTTTTTTTAAGACAGGATCTCGCTCTGTCTCCCAGGCTGGAGTGCAGCGGTGCAATCTCAGCTCACTGCAACCTCTGCCTCCCAGGCTCAAGCGATCGACCTGCCTCGGCCTTCCAAGTAACTGGGACCACAGGCGCCCACCATCACACTGGCTAATTTTTGTACTTTTTGGAGGGGGCGGGGGGTTCACCATGTTGCCTAGGCTGGTCTTGAAGTCCTGGGCTCAAGTGATCCACCCAGCTTGGTCTCCCAAAGTGCTGGGATTACCAGCATGAGCCTCCGTGCCTGGCTAGAAAGGGAACTCTCATGCAACGCTGGTGGGAATGTAAACTAGTAGAGCCACCATAGAGAAGAGTATGGAGGTTCCTCAAAACACTAGAAATGGAACTCCCACATGACCCGGCCATGACATTACTAGGTATCTGTTCAGAGCAAAGGAAGCCATGATATCAGAGAGACATCGGCACGCCCATGTTTACCGCAGCACTATTCACAACAGCCAAGATAGGGAATCAGCCTAGGTGTCCACCCGCAGATGAGCAGACAGTAAAGAAAAGGTGCTATCTACACACAGTAGAATACTATTCAGCCGTGAAAAGGAATAAAATCCTCTGATTGGCAGCAACACGGATGAAACTGGAGGACGTTACGTTAGGTGAAATAAGCCAGGAAAAGAACATTAAACAGTACTTGTGCTTACTCATACATGAAAGCTATAAAAAGCTGATCTCCTGAAAGGATAAAGAAGAACAGAGGATACTAGATTCTGGGAAGGGAAGAAGGGAGAGATAGGGAGAGGTTTGTTAAAGGATATAAGATAGGAGGAATATGTTCCAGTGTTCTATAGCCTTGTAGGGTGACCATAATTAGCAATAAAATGTCATACAGTTTCAAATAGATACAGGATATTCAATGTTCCTAACACAAAGAAATGGCAAATAATTGAAATGATGGATATGCTAATTAACCCTGATCTGATTACTCCATTCTTTGTATCAAAGCATCACTGTGTACCCCATGAATATATACAATTACTATGTGTCAATTTAAAAAATAAAATAAGCCTGGGAAATACGGCAAAACCCAGTCCTTAAAAAAAAAAATTTAGCTGAGTGTGGTGGTGCACACATGTAGTCCCAGCTACCTGGGAGGCTGACAGGGGAGAATCGCTTGAGCACAGGAGGTCAAGGCTGCAGTGAGCGGTGATCACATCACCACACTCCAGCCTGGGTGACAGAGTGAGACCTTGTCATAACATAAAATAACATAACATAACATAAAGTAAAATATAGGCCGGACGCTGAGGCTCATGCCTGCAATCCCAGCACTTTGAGAGGCTGAGGCGGGCAGGTTACTTGAGGTCAAGAGTTCCAGACCAGCCTGGCCAACATGGTGAAACCCGTCTCTACTAAAAATACAAAAATTCGCTGGGCATGGTCGCCGGTGCTTGTAATCTCAGCTACTCAGGAGGCTGCCGCAGGAGAATTGCTTGAACCTGAGAGGCAGAGGTTGCGGTGAGCTGAGATCGTGCCACTGCACTCCAGCCTGGGTGACAGAGCAAGACGGAGTACATAAATGAAATAAAATGTAAAATAATTGTTAAAGTTTACAGTGGTAAATACGCCACTATGGCCAAGAACAGGACATCTTTCTCGAGGCTTCCTTCAGTCTACAGCACAAGCAGTACCTGATATGTCCTGCCTTGGAGAGCTCGGTACTGAGCCGGCTTGCACGGCACTATAAGGCACCCTCAATAAACTGCAAGTGAACGTCAGTGAACTACTTTTTTTTTTTGAGACAGGTCTTGCTCTGTTGCCTCCAGGCTGGAGTACCGCAGCGTGATCCTGGCTCACTGCACTGAGCCTTGACCTCCAGGGCTCAAGCTATGCTCCCACGTCAGCGTCCTGAGCAGCTGGGGCTACAGGTGCACACCACCACACCAGGCTGATTTTTTTTTTTTTTTTAACTTTTGGTAGAGACGAAGTCTCACTATGTTGCCCAAGCTGGTCTCAAACTCCTGGGCTCAAGTGATCCTCCCACTTCAGCCTTCCAAAGTAATGGGACTACAGATGTGAGTCACCACACCCATCACTGAATTTCTTTATACTCCTCATTCACGGAACAATATGTGGCAAGCAACAGGTGATCAATAAATGTGTATAGGCCAATGAAAGAGCCCGAGTTTATCATATTTTTCTTTTTTGTGAGACAAGGTTTGACTCTGTCACCCAGGCTGGAGTGCAGTGGTGCAATCATAGCTCACTGTAGCCTTGAACTCCCCCAGGAGGCCATCCTCCCACCTCAGCCTCCCATGTAGCGGGGACCACAGGTGTGTGCCACCATGCCTGGCTAATTTTTTGACTTTCTATAGGGATGCGGTCTCACTATGTGACTACTTTTAAGGTGCAGGAGCAGAGTCTGTATTTGTAACTGAGACTGGGTGGTCTGCAAAGCTGACCAAAGCTCTTTGCCCCAAGAAAACCATTTCTTGACCCCTGAAGACCAGGAAAAAGACAGAAATACATGCAAATACAGCCTTGAAAATAGCGGTGCGTGTGTGAAAACAAGATTGTCATGCTATGCTTTGTTGACTGTAGTAAAAAGATTGCAGTCCTGCTGCAGAAACCAACAGACTTTAGTAATATCTAGAAATTTTAGAAATATGTGAAATAAACTAAAAAACATATATACTTAAAACTGCAAAGACCAAGATAAATCCAAGAACACCTAGAAGTCAACTGTATTAGTCCATCTGCAGTCTGCTATAAAGAACTACCTGAGACTGGGTAATTTACAAAGAAAAGAGATTTAGGCCAGGCACAGTGGCTCATGCCTGTAATCCCAGCACTTTGGGAAGCCAAGGCAGGCAGATCACGAGGTCAAGGAGATCGAGACCATCCTGGCTAACATGGTGAAACCCCATCTCTACTAAAAATACAAAACATTAGCTGGGCGTGGCAGCGGGCGCTTGTAGTCCCAGCTACTCAGGAGGCTGAGGCAGGAGAATGGCGTGAACCCAGGAGGAAGAGCTCGCAGTGAGCCGAGATAGTGCCACTGTACGCCAGCCTGGGTGACAGAGCGAGACTCCGGCTCAAAAAAAAAAAAAAAAAAAAAAAAAGAAGAAGAAGAAGAAGAAAAATAAAAGAAAGAAAAAGAGATTTAATTGACTCTCAGTCCCGCACGGCTGGGGAGGCCTGAGGAAACTTACAAATCATGGCGGAAGGCGGAGGGGAAGCAGGGCACATTTACCTGGTGGCAGATAAGTGACAGCGAGCAAAGGAGGAAGTACTACACTTTAAAACCATCAGATCTCCTGAGAACTCTCACGAGACAGTACTAGGGCAATGTTGCTAAACCATCAGAAACCACTCCCATGATCCAACCACCTCTCACCAGGTCCTGCCTCCAACACTGGGGATTACATTTAAACATGACATTTGGGTGGGGACACAAAGCCAAACCACATCATCAACCAGTAAGTGTATACTACACACCTACATGTCCGAGGCACAAGTTGTACTTCTGACATTTTCTCATACTGACCAGGACAGAGACTCATATTGGCTCAAAGTCATGTTTTCTATTTAGCTTCTTTTGACTTAGATACTCCAATTCAGGTATTCTAGCAATGGAAATACCTTACAAAATGGAGCTTTCAAATGATACCCTCACTGATGATCAGAAATGCCAATGAGCAAAAATAATTCTCTTGTAGATTCCAAATCACTTCCTGACCTTAACGAAATTCAGTGGAGTGGGTGGAATGAGAGGTCTCCAGGAAGTTACATCTGTGATCCTGCCCCACCAACCTGCGAATGGGACCTTATTGGGAAATAGGGTCTTTGCAGATAGAATTAACTCGAGGAGCTTCAGATGACATCATCCTAGAATAGGGTAGGTCCAAATCCAATGACAGGTATCATCGTAAGAGACTGAAGAGGAGGCACACACACAGAGGAGAAGGCCACATGGGAACAGAGGCAGAGATGCAGTGAAGCGGCCACAAGCCCAGGGACTCCTAGAGCCCCCAGGAGCTGGGAGA